TACAGGGTGTTTCAGTTAAAACTTCCCACCTGGAAAATGAATTTAAAAAAACAAAAGAAACCTGAGACACGTCGATTTTCTTTTTAAGGGGGGCACGTGATGGCGTAAGTTTTGGTGTCCCCGTTGAAAAGAAAATCGACGTGTCTCAGGTTTTTTGTTTTTCTTTTAATACAGATATTTCCCAAGTGGAAAGTTTTAATTGAAACACCCTGTATGTTAATTGAATAATCGTAGTCGGGTTAGTAACATTATTTATTTTAATTAATGGTTAAAGGAGGACATAGTAGAAGAGATTTCGAGTATCGTGTTGCAGTTATTTCGTCAATTTAAATAGTTTTTTCAACTTCATTGTTTTTTTCTTCGATATTCCAATCTTTTTATTTACCGAATCGGTCGTACATCCCTCTGCTACAGCGGATGACTTCCATCTACCGCGGTGTTTTAGTCATGAGATCTCCTCCGTCGTCTGCCAATAGCGTTATGGATGTCCATTTAAAACAGTGCCCTATGTAGGTTTTCGGACTCTTGGATTTTATATAGGAAGCTATAAATTTTCTACCTAAGTGTGTTTTTGAATCGGGAATGTAAATAACAAAAATGTTATCTGTTGCTCGATGTCATTTAACATCATTTTGTAAAACCTTTTCGACGAGCTCCTGCTAATCCCTTGGTTAAGGCGATCTGAAACAATAAGAAAGCATATAAAACCTTGTATATTTTTTATATTTGGACTGAAGATAAATCTCAACAAATGATAGAACAGATCCTACCTTTGTCATAAAAAAATCGTCGTCCGAAGCTTCCACAAATAATCTATCCAAAGGTAGAAAGAGGTTTCCTTTAGTCCTGCATTCAACTAATTTCTTCTCAAAAAATGTCATTACTCTAGAATATTTTTCAATATTTATGTTCTTTTACACAGCCAAAGTGGTTTTCATCATGGAGTAGTAGCACCAAAGTGAAGATTTTTGGTTTTAAAATAGTCAGTGAAATAAGCGATTAGATTATTTTCATTAATGCTTAGTGCTTCTTTTGCGGCACACCATTGCCCGAAACTGTTGTATTTCTTTTCATACACTGCCTTAGACCTTTCCAGCTTCTGCTTCTTCTTTTACTATTTCTGATATCTCCACTTCAAAAAATTATATTCAAGACCCGGTAATAAATACAAACAGTATGGCTACTTTTTTCACGACGTATTGTTTATATCATCGTAGTCACGAAAAAAAAATAACATCTTATAAAAGTTGCCATATTAGAACTGTTGTAAATAATACAGTCTAAATAATACAGTCCGTACAATATTTGTTGAGATAGAATTCTAAGAAAAAACACGATGATATAAAAAAAGGAATAAACGAAGAACAGTATGCACTGCAAGCTGCTACGATGAACGCCATGCCGCCAATGTCTTTCTACCTCGGGTGTCAAATGCGGTTAATTTCTAGAAAGTGACGCAGGGGCCTTCTTGCCTATTATTAGTCTTGCTATCGATTTTCAAAAAATGTTAAATTGCAGAAACCATATTTTGATGTTTTGAATCCTTTGGGAAACAAAGGGCGTTTTTCATTTTTGTTCGCCTTTTGTGATGTTCAATAACCTCTTTATGTATGAGTTAACTGCACATCTTTATGTATAGTGATTTGTGAAAATAAACAGAGCCAGCGGAAGAATTGATGAAGTGAGCTGTTCAGAAAATTTTTTTTCGGATTACTGTGATGAGTGAGATGTGCAAAAAAGATAAATAATTCAGTTGTTTTATAATAAAATGATGAAAACCTAATAGTATCATAAAAGAGTTGGATTACAAAACAAATTCTTTTTGCACTTAAAAAAAACGTTTTGGAGAAATATGTATTTTGTTAAATTATATAATTTCAAAAATCGAAGGGTGCTCTAATTTAAAAAATAATATGTTTAGGCTAAGACTGAAGTCGGAAGCCATAGAAAAATATCACGAACTCCACTGAACTCAAGATTGGGTCTACTTAATAACATATGGTATATGTCAAGGAAACCCGAAAAAACGTGTGAAAAAACTATCTATAATTTTAGGAAAATGTCAAGCAAATATGTACATGTATAACAGAAAAAATAATTATATCTTTATGTAGTACAACATTCTATATTCTGGCGGATGCGGCGGTTGCATAACAACTATACAATATGTTTATAGTAAGAAAGTAGGAACAGAACAAATTTTCAAAATTTTACGGAAATCCATATATACTGACACGCAATTTAAATTCTACTGTTAAACTGTTAGACAACAAATACGTCTATGTCAATATGACGCACATAGTTTATCAACCTAACCCAAGACTTACGCAATGTTATCAATGTAATATTTATTTACCTAACAAATAGTTGACTAAACAAGATTAAATGAATATTGTCATTATTTCAACAAAACTGAGACTCATTTTAACAAATAATTATTTTAATTTTGAGTGAAATTTTGTTTGTGGTGCACCGACAAATTTTACTGTGCTTGAGGTTTTAAATAAATTATATGAGATATAAAACAGTTTGGGGGTACCAGCTTTTTGCATTCCTGATTAAACTGTTCAAAATTAGAATAAATTTATTCGCCCCACGCTAAATATTCGACAGTTTATCGTTCTGCTCTGTTCCAAAGATGTTCCAAATCGCCTTAAAGATTGTTCTAAATCACCCCCAACATTTTAAATGGCCTTTTAATAATTTAAAATAAAATACTGAAAACCAAAGATATTATCAGATGTTTTTTGTGATACTTTCATTTTAAACCAAATTTGAGGGAATCTAAAAATTGTTAATTCAAAATAATATTCGATGTTCACTTTTGTTTCATTTTTCGATAGAAACAACCACGCTGGGGTTACTGGCCAATTGATTCACGACAAAAATCACCATCTGAACGTAGAATTAGTTGCTATTTTTAATTTCGGGTTCAAAAATAGGGGTCCCTATTTGAAAATTTGAAGTTGACCTTGACCGGTGACCTCTAGGTCAAATTTATGGTCAGTAATAATTTTCCCCCAACAAACCCTACCACTTTTATACAGATCATTTTCGCTAGAACCTAAACTGTCGTAGATATTACCGTGGGGCCATCAAAACGGCCCACCCTGTATATAAATTGAAAAAATTACTGATAGTATATATCTAAAAAAAGAGTTTATTCAAGTATTCGTTAGCTAAATAAATCTTTTATTGAATACTGAATAACTTTTGAGTTAACTTGCTACATTATGTTTGCCATATTGGTATATTACACCTGAACTACAAAAATTAGTTCTTAATAATTACAACTAAGTAAATGTCTTTTTTGTTGCATGGCAGTATAACTGCACATCGGTTTGTAATTGTAGGTACGCAATTTTGTGTTCCTCTACTAAGAAATGCGTAATATTAACAACGAACGGAACGATTTTTACACAGTTTTTTACAGTGTGATTCACTTTTTATGATTAGTACTTTAACCATCGATAGATTTCGTCAAAATAATGTAATTTTGAAGTATACACTTTTTAATCCATTTTAGAGATATAAAAGCTCTTGAAAAACTTTTTTTTTGCTTCCTATTTATTTTTTTCTTACACTATGAAAGCCATTTGTTTTATATTTGTATGAGGTGTACGAATGAAAAGCTGAAAATGAATCCATAAGAAGCCATTTTTCTCAAAAAAAAAACAAGTATTTGGTTTAAAAATAGTAAGAGACCTCTTTGCTGTAGAATAAACCGCAATGTAAAAAAAATATATTCATTATGAAAAATTTCCAGTGGCGTAGAAATTATATTAAATGTAGGTGTTCTCAGAGACCCTTACGGACGCCTAGGATTGATCTATTTTCATAATAATTTGTAAAATCGATAGAGCTTTTCATTCGTTCACTTGATACTAAATAGAAAACAAATGGCTTTCATAGATTTAGAAAAAATAAATAGAAACCAAAAAAAAAATTTTCTTCAAGAGCTTATGTCTCTAAAAAGAAGCCTTTGGAAGAAAAAGTGTATGCTTCAAAATGACGTTATTTTGACGAGATCTATCGATGGTTAACCTAATCATAAAAAGTGAATCACCCTGTATTTTAGGTTAGTTGGTTAATTACTTTGTTTTCATTTATTTGTTAAATTGATGATTTGAGCAAGCTTTACTAATTGCCTATTATTATCTAACTATGATCAGCCCTGTATATTTTTCGGTAGTTGAAAGAATATGAAAGTCCTCTCATTAGCCAAAAATGTTACTCTGAATACTTTTTATACAGAGTGTTTATTAAGTACTTGTACAAACGTTAAAGGGTGAATCTTTGACTAATTTTAAGATAATGAATATGGGTCCGCAACGGCTTGATTCTTGAGATACAGACCGTACAAAAAATGTTTTGTTTTGTATTTTAATTATATTTTTGTTCCAATTTTTTTCAAATTTTCACTAATTTAGTGATATCCAGTATTTTGTAAAGTGATAGTGCAACATAACACATGACTCTTTTTCGCTTTTTTTAAACTCTTATCGATTCAACTTACAAAATTCCAATGCAGGTTTAACATTAACCCCGTTTACAAAACCGCTGCTTTCAGCGACAAATACTAAAAGTATGTTTAGTCAAAAATGACATACAGTGCCACGAAAATAAGTTATGGTTATTTAAATCCAGGTACAACACTGTATGTGGCGCCCTTTAAAATTAAACCGTAAAACTAAATAAATATTTGACTTTCTCGTCATCAATACTCTCAGTTTCCCGAATTTCGTCAAATCGCCATGTTATGGAACAAAAATATAATCAAAATACCAAACAAAGATATATTGGACGCTCTGTATCTCAAGAACCAAGCCGTTGGGGATCCATGTTCATATGAATTTTTAAATTTAAAATTGGTCAAAGGTTCAGCATTTAAAGTTTCTACAAGTATTTAATAAACACCCTATATAAGCAACTATTTTCTTTATGTTTGGAGAATGTTGTCCATCTTCTAAAAAACATGTATGTCTACTCCTAGGAACTACCTTGGTCAAAATAGGGCTGCCATTCGTACTTCTTCCCCTCGTACGTGTGGTTGTTGTACTTGGTGCATTGCACAGCCCTGAACGTGGGCTTCCCTGGTGGACACGGTTGCGTGTTGCAGATGCGGTAGCGCTTGCGTTCGCCCACGCAGAAGCGGCCGCCCGCCACTGGCCGTGGATGGTCGCATTCGCGTTTCATCACGGAGACTCCGGAGCCGCAGGTCCGTGTGCACTCGCTCCAGGGGCCCCAGTCGCCCCAGCCGCCATCGATAGACGCCGGAGGTTCCATCATGGGCACGCACTTCTGGTGCTGGCACCACTGCAAAAGTATAAACAAGGATAATTTTAGCATTGCTACACTGAAAGAAATGGGCTAATTAAACTGTTTATCTAGAATAATGTGTATAGCGCATATTAAAACTTTCATAACCAATATACAACTTTTATTAAAAAAAAGCAATCATCTACATACTCATTATTCAATCAGTTTAACTGGAAGGTGCTTAATACACCTTATGCATCTATGAAATAAAGGTTATAATGATTTACTTATACATTATTAGGTGTTATAGACTTTATATTCCAATTGTATAGTAGGGAAGATTTGTTGTATAAAGACCAGTATCCGAATTTGTATATAACAATTGTATTAACAGAATTATTCGTTCTTATACTGAATATGTTTCCGTTTTTAACGTGTAAAACGCATCTTATAATGGTTAAGTGATCGTCACCTCTCGGTGCATAATCGGTTATGATCGTTGTTAAGTTATATTCATAGTCTTGTAATAATAATCATATGTCAGACCCGAGAGCGAAGTGCGCCGACTCAATAAGAAACCTGGCTATTCCAGCCGCTGATTTAGGGTTCGCCGCACGAGCTCATCCCTTCTAAGATTTCAGTAGCATGCTATGCATGAAGCAGAACGGTACTCAACTATCTTATACAGTCCACTTTTATTGTCCATACATGTTCAATCATTGTCAAAATAAACACACAAAACCACAACGTCTTTATTATCTTTACTCAAGAAGAGAAAATACAACAATCGTAAAATTTCCGACAGTCCGCTGTGCATCGACTTACACACGTCTAGTTTGATGAAAATGGACAGTATATGCACATGTTTTGTGGGATACATGATCATATCGCGTTGTGTGAAATGGAAAATTATTATGTAAGTATCTAACTGTTTTATGGCTTGTAATTGTTTTGTTTTTTCAAATGTAAATCTTGTCTAAATCTTAAAAATTATTATTTTGTAGGTCCTATTAGAAATCGCTGATGTTAAGTTTTACATAAGATGGAGGAACAGAAGGTTAACGGTGACAAAGAAGAGCATGGGTATAAAGTCAATCAACCAGAGGAAATAAAATTATATGGAAAGAAGCTCAACCTTTCTGGGGATGCTTCATTCTTAAGGTGGAAGAGTTATAGTGCAAATTCTCATGTAATACAAGAAAATACGGGTGCATCGTTGCTAAGAAAATAAACTGGACAGTTTTGGGAGCGATTTGTCATCATTTTTAATGCTTAAAAGTATGTTTTATGTATGTTTACATTAGAACCTTAGCTTGTAATTACAGTTATCCAATAAAATTTCTGAAAACTTAATGACATATGTTTTTAACTCATACAGAGTATACAACAGTTTAATACATTTATTATTATAAAACTTATAACCAGTACTAGATGTTCTAATAACGATATGGAACACTTTAATAACAGTTATTGCTATTATTTCGTAAAGGGTATAAAAAACGTTGTATACTAGTTATACAATAATTTAATAAAGAATAAGGTTTATAGTCACTATACAACTGTGCTAGCAATACGCGTTTTATATCCAATATTCACCTGTTTAACTGTCACATATAGTATACAATGGTCTTATAATGGTATATAGAATTCTAATAAAGAATAAAACGCATTTCTTTCAGTGTAAAAGTTAATGAAGCGATTAACGGGTTTGGTTTAGTAAATAATGTATTATTTGTCTTTACTTGTTTGTTATTTTTGGAAATATCCTTAATTATAATTTGACAATTACTTCCGAAAAATGTTAAATACATGGACATGGACACATTGTCGAAACGTTGGCAATTTTAACAAAAAAGTGTAAGTTCATTGTTCCAAACCTATTAATATTTTTAGTAAATTATTATTGTTAGGGGTGTAATATTTCTTAATAAGGTTCCTAGAAATTTTCAAAATCGCAGTCAATGTATTTATAAAGGGGGCGGAAGTTGAATATACCATTCGTAAGTTCTACAGGGTGTTCCGAAACTTACCGTGTGGTAGAACATGTCAAAAAAGAAAAGAATTTAGAAAAATAATTTTTTAATATTATCTCGCTTATTGTTAGAGATGGACCCAACAAACCCCAGCTGATGATACTAGACAGGGAACGTTCTATCCAAATATGTAAAAATATACAGGGTGTTCCATTTATCTTAACAAAGTTAACATCCGCGGTCATTTTGTTTGGACTGTATTTGTTTTTCTACTACCATTTTCGAAAACATAACTCTTAAAACAAAAAAGTTAATGTAGGGGTCAAAATATAGTGAATCACCTTGTAACATATACATAATAAATTATTTATCAGTCAATTTCTTTTTTTATACAACATTTACAATTAGTGCTTAGGACATAATATTCATAGAATTGTTTTCCTTAGGATTAATAGTTATGAAATCATATCTTTTGTTATCGCAACCTACTGAAGGATTGCTCAATATTCTGCTCAGGATATAAGTATAATTCAAGTAATTCTTCTATAAAAAATTATAAAACATACTACTATTTCCAAGAGGCTTAAGAACTAAAAGATTAAAAAATGAATTAAAGTAAATATTTTGTACTCGTAAAGGTTTGAAATTCATATTTTGATACAAAAATGGAAAGTTTCTAGTTTATAGACATATTATATTAATCAAAAACATAACTAGAATTATTGAATACTTATTAAAGAAAAAAACTCATTTGGAAATCAAGTTAATACTTACAAGTTGATTATGGATTGATCGATCGATTATTATCCGAAATCTTAAAAACAGCGACAACTATTAAAAAAGTATATCGACAAAAGGAACAAAATTATATTTGATGTTAAATGAAATAATGTATGTTTTAAAAACTGGTAAGTTATTAATATTCAGACTTGTTATAACTGGTGACAAGTAACTTTGACATCGCGTGCATGTAGATCCTTAACAAACAAAATTTCAGTTTACCAAGATAGGCTGAAATATTGCAGCAAATATCCCTGCAGACAATATAAATTATGGTACATAATAATTGAGACCGTGTACCTCACGGCGAATCCATCAATACAATTACTCTGAATAGATTAATCTGTATTTCAGTCGCGAGAGCATACAACGTATACACGGTGTATCAAGTTAGATGTGAAAATAACATAACTATCAGAGATAGGAAAGTGTTTAAATGGGAACAAAGATGAATGTGAATAAAAATACATAAACATTTTTTCTTGGATCCCGATTCGATCAGGTTTAACTGAAAACCACATTACGCTTTGTCAACGTTTCGTCGTTTTTGTTACTATATCTTCAGTACTCTATGTGATGAGTTGTATAAGACAAAAAATTGTACTTGCACAAGGTTATTCACATTATTTTTGTCCAGATGTTGTTTGTTCCACACTCCGTTTTTCTAAGTAAAAAAGCAACAACGATAAGGGGAGTAGTTTCTTGTAACTTGTACATTAGGACAATTAAATATAAAATTGAGAATATATATTAATATTTCAGATTCTAAAGATGAAATTATAATACGAAATAGCGTTTTTTAGTTACTGGATTGTAAAAAAAGGAAAAACAACATCTGGACAAATATGACAATTTTTTCGTACCGAAATGTTACTATTATTAATAGTAATATACATACAGGGTGATTCATTAATAACAGAACGTATCTTAAAGTAAGAATGCTGAAGTAAAATTATGACAATTGAACTGAATATGTCTTATTCCAATATTGACCTTTTTCGTTCTACAGGGCGTTAAAGTCAAAAAAATATTTTCAATGTTTTACAATATTTTGAGATTCTCTTAACGGATTGTCTTGGAAATTTCCACAACTATGGTTCTTAAGGTGAGAGTTAAGAGTATGGTAACTGTGTGCGGTCACTTACACGGGGCGTTAGTTATCCTCTTCTGTCAGCGTAAAAATAAATGATTACATGATTACATGATTAAAAATCACGGATGTGCAAATTTTTAAGATAATCAATTTACAGATGTTCAAAATATAAAAATAAATAATCGAGAAAATGTTTTTGATTTTAACACCCTGTAGAAGAAAATGGAGCAATAATCAAATAGTCAGTTCAATTATCATCATTTGACGTCAGAAATCTTCCCTTAACTTATGTACTTGTGGATACACATGTTCGCAAGTGACCCATATTTAATTAAGTCAAGAACGCCGCCGGACGGACAACGGGGTTCCTGGAAGACGCCCCAGGCAGAGTGGCGCCAAGGACCAGTGACTTCTGTCAGCGACTACCAAGCTACCTACGACCGACTCTACACACAGGGACTCTCCAACGAACACTCACCCCGTCAACAGTCTTTTCCTATACAAGTTTTCTATACGTTAGTTTTCAAAAAATTCTTTATTATTACCGTTGAGAAAGCGTTTTATTCTTGCTGTACAGCGAAAGCAACCCTCTTACTATTATTAATGAATCAGCATGTATAAGGAATAATTGGACAAAAGCCCACGGAAATATATAAAAAATTGCCTTACTCTTGTAATTCGGCATATTGTGCCAAAAATTGTATTTCTTCGTTTATAGTAGGAAAATATTTGGGTATTTATTGTTAAAATATTTATAGAAAGAAATTTTACCACCCCTTATAATTAGTTAATTAATTTATAAAAATATTGTGACATAAATAAGTAAAGTACATTTAATATATCTTTTTCTGTATATATTTAAAAAAGTAAATTGACGATTGCAAATTGTAAAATTTCATTGAAAATCTGCTTACATATTCAAACAGAACAAAAACTTATCAGGAAGTATTTTTCATTCAACTAAATCCAGGGAAGGTAAACCCAAAATGTCTGAAGAAGGAATTTTGTCGCAATCAATTTAAAACACTCTGTACATATGAAATAGGACGGATCATTTATTCGCTGGGTAAAATCGTGATGCGCCAATAATATTTCATGAGCCTGAAAGTTGAAATATCGTGCCCGATTGCAATTTTATATCCACGTCTCGTTAAAAATATATTCTAATAACTTCTGAGAAGGAAACGTCGTGCTCATTTAGAGCAGATTGC